TTTCCATATCCAAAACATTCCGCTTTGAGGAAGGTCTCGGATTCTCGGCCGATATATCGCCTGCATTTTTGTCACCCAAATCCTTATATTATCCTACGTTTTCTGCTCATCTTTTTTCAGTTCGCTTTCTCAATCCAGATCCTTTGGATTTTAAAGCTTTGTGCTTTTTTTGTTTTCGAAATTTCTTGGTTCAATTACTGAGAATTTCAAAGGCTTTACTGGGTCATTGTTAAAGTTGGTCAGGGTAAGTGGGTCTTCTTCTTCTTCTTCTTATTCCTCTTTTCCCTAGGGTTTTTTGCTCAGCAACCAAACAGAGCATTACGTTTCCTTTATGCTTTGCATTGTTTTACACTGTTTTTAAAGTTATTCGTTCTGAGTATGTGTTTTTATGAACGAAAAACCAGTTTTTGATTCGTAACTGTGCAAAAGAAGCAGAGCAAAGCGAAGCAGAGAGCAGAGGAAATGAAAGTAGAGATTTAAAGGACAGTTAAGGAAAAGAAAGAAAACAGCATTTGAGAGTATAGGGGGTAAGTCGTTTTTGATCATTAAATGATGCCAAATGGTAGTTTTCAAGGTTTCAACCGAAACAAATCTCAATATTCTCTTGTCGTTTTGTCCATCAATTTTTCGACACTTGAAATAGGTCCATCTTATTCTTCTTCTTCTTCGAGAAAAACATATTGAAAAAGAAAAAGAAAACTACTCTACTGCTCCAGTGTTTCTCTGTGATATTATTCTTTTGGTCGCTTTTTTTTTTGTTTTTTATTCAAATTTGTTAATTTAATTTTTTTCAGAAACATCGGCTTGCTTGAACAGGGCATTGTTTTTAAGTTTGAATCTCTGTTGGTTACGTTAAAGCAAAGCATAGATTCCAATCTTGGTCCTTTGATCAATTAGGTTACTTTCCAATTGGTATGTCCCATTATGTTTCCTTCTTTATTTTATTTTATTTTCCCAATAATTGACTGCTTGCAAGCACTTTTTGTGGGGTGTAGGTGGCCTTACTTCTCTGATCCCGAGCTTACTCTTTTTCTTTTTGTTTCTCTTTTCCTTTGTGTCATTGTCAAAACAAAACCCATGAGGGATGATGCAGATGCAACACTCACACTTGTTGGATTGTTTTCTTGTTTCAGTTTGGTTTTTCTTTTGTTCTTTTCTCCATCTCAATGGGACACAGCCTATTATTCTACTGCAACAATGTCTCCTCATCTCAGTGCATGAACAATGTTTCATGGAATCATTTTCTTTTTTTTTCAGGTACAGGTACAGGAAGAGAATAAGACGACGAGAAATCAAAAGGAAAGAAAAGAAAAGGAAAATGTTTACGTGCATAGCGTGCACAAAGCAGATGGCAGATGGAGGGGAAGAAGAAGTAGAAGGAGCGCGTGGAAGTGGCACACCCAGCACTAAAGAAGCTGTCAAAAGCCTGACCACGCAGGTTCTACATCTATCTCTTCTTCTTTGGTTCATTCGTTCAATCTTATCTTTAGCTTAGGTTTTGCTTTTTCACTTCACTTTTTTCTACTTAAGGATTTTGATTGTGAAAATGAACAAAAATCATAATCCCAATTAGCTCATCTCCTTAGCCTCGGGACCACCTTCTTCTTCCACGTTTAATGCTGTAAAAGCTGTGCATGAACCCTTGTGTGGTTTGAATAAATGCGGCCAAAAGTGAGAACCTTTGTGCGGTTACAGTACAGTTTATATTTGAGTACACTGCACTGCTCACTGTTGTGTAGGGGCTATGGGTAATAGGATTTGAACGTAGGCAGCTCTAGGCTGTTGTTAAATGCTTGTTGGAGCAACAAGAAAATGAATCCTCATCGTTGTACAAAGATTCCACCTTTTGTTATGGCTTTTCTTTAGGACTAGGGTCCTCTAGGATTGTGAACAATAGGCAGATGCAGAGGACAATATCCCTTGATATGGGTTACATATTCTCTAGGCTTTAGTCAGGATTTTTAATGGACAAGATCCTAAACCCTACCTCCACTTATTAACTTCTTTATAGATCTCAGAATATAGTTGTTCCCAATATAGATGTTTTCAACCTTTTTTTAAATTCTATGTCGATCGATAGACACTTAAACAAAGAGAGGGAACAATATTTCTTTTGATTAACAAATGTCTTACATGAATTGCTTAATTAATAAAAAGTAAAGAGTTCAAATTTTTTTAATTTTATTTTAGGTGTCTAATAATTTTTATTGTTAGTATAGATAATATTTCATTCTTTTACTATTTTAAAGTCTAATCATTAATTTTCGTTTAAAAAAATTATCATCCAACAAATACATGACATGTGCTATAAATTTTAATTTCCTTTTACTTTCATGAAAAAAAACTACTAAAATCTATGATTTCTAAAAATAGAGACAATTATATTTCAATTAATCCTATAGAAATAGTAAATATGGTGTTTTAGGACGAAGTTGTTAAAAAACCATAACTTGTGGCAGCAGCCAATAGGAAGTAGTAAGGAGGGGGATATCTTTAGAAAAGACAGTGGGTGTATGTTAAGAAAGGACACCCCAAGTGTCCTGGGCTTGACCCACCATTGAATTCTTGTCGGTCCACTCTGTTTGAAAAGCGGGCATAGCAAAAGAAAAAAGAAGAAGAATAAAATCTATGCGTGCGAATGGGCACTGATACCATACAAATTGACAGCTACAACGACAGCTCTTCAGATAGTCGCAGACAAGTATATTTTATCAGTTCAGATTGGTAGGCCAACAGTGTTGACTGTTTTCCTCGTGAATTTTCACAGTTTGACAATCTCCTTTTTCTTTTTTGGGATGGAGTTTTCGTAGATCATCTTGTCGGGGTCTACTGTGTAGGTGACCTTGGACTTTGACTGACAACAATGAAATTAACCAAGTATTTTCCAATACGACATGATCTTGTTGAAGCCGAGCATTTTGATGAAAATGGAGTTGTATGTTTTATATTTTGTGCTTCTTATTGACTTGAATTCTGATAAATGTGCAGATCAAGGATATGGCATTGAAATTTTCTGGAGCTTACAAGCAATGCAAGCCCTGCACAGGCTCCAGCAGCTACAAGACAGGGAGTCGACCGTATCCCGATTTCGATGCTGCTTCGGAAGGTGTTCCATACCCCTACATGGGTGGAAGCTCTAGTTCAACGCCTGCTTGGGACTTCACTAGTGCCAGTCATCATCCAGGAAGATCGGACTCGAGATTTACTGGTGCATTCAGTGGTGAAAGAGCTTCGGTGTATAGAGAGTCTTTCTCGGTCCAGGATTTGGTGTTGGAAGATGAGGATGAGCCTAAGGAATGGATGGCACAGGTGGAACCTGGTGTTCATATAACTTTTGTTTCCCTTCCTAATGGAGGAAATGATCTAAAACGGATTCGATTCAGGTATGTCACCAACAATTGATCCATGCCAGCAATGATTTACCTTTGTATATAATACGGAAACTGACGTTACTTGGGCATTGAATATCGAAGTCGGGAGATGTTCGACAAGTGGCAAGCACAACGGTGGTGGGGTGAGAATTATGATAGAATCATGGAGCTCTACAATGTGCAGAGATTTAATCGTCAGGCATTGCATACTCCCCCAAGGTCTGAAGATGAGGTAAACCTGACCACCATCTTCCTTTTAAGATAATATTGTTCCAAGTTGAAGTTACTAACAGAAAAAAAGTTTTATACACTGCAGACACAAAGGGATTCGTCTTATTCAAGGGTGGGATCCGTGATGGAAAGTCCCATGCCTCATTGGACACCAAGAAACAACTATAAACCCTACAGTGCAGGGCCTAGTGGTTTATGTCCGGGTGGCACGAGAGGCGGTGATGCATCGTTTGATGCTGCACGAATGACGACGTCGTCGAGAGATGAGCCTTCTGTTTCGGTGAGCAATGCAAGTGAAATGGAGGCTGAATGGATTGAAGAAGATGAACCCGGGGTTTATATTACCATTAGACAGTTGGCTGATGGTACCAGGGAACTCCGACGCGTCAGGTTCAGGTAATCAAATTCATATTTATTTACATCATCATAAAGTAACTTTGCCTATAATTTTTTTTATGTAACTTGGATATTGAAATTGGGCAGCCGGGAGAGATTTGGAGAAGGAAATGCAAAGCAGTGGTGGGAGGAGAACAGAGATAGGATACAAGCACAATACCTTTAACTTTTATTATACTGTTTAGCATTTGGATGTTCTCTCAATTTTGGCTATGATACACCTTCCCGTACCTAAGTAGTGGGTAAAGAGTAGAGAAAGAAACAAGTTCAGATTCTACGAGGCAACTGGGTCTTTGTCACCTTTGCTTATGACAAAAACACTCAACCATACCACACTCATCTCCCTCAATTTTTCATTCATGCTCCTCTTTTTCCGCTTCTGTTTCCGTGGGACTACCCCTTCTCTTTATTATTATTATTTTTTTTTTTTGCTGTTGGTCTGCCAGTTTTCAGGGGGCTTTTTTTACCACCTTACAAGACCTTTGAGATTTTAATATTTGGGTCCGGAATTACGGTATCCACTGTTGTTTTGTTTGTTATTTTGTAATACAAAATTCGTAGTTGAAGAAATGGAATTCAAATTGTTGTTTTGTTCATCATAATTACTCCACTATACATCTACGCTTGAAATTCTGTAACGGTATAATATATTCTATAGTTTATCAAGATTACATATGTTTTAAAATTCGACCCCAAAAGATAAAAATTTTAACCATCCACCACAACTGCTGGTTTCATCATTCATGCCATAATTACAGATCTTTATGCAAGGGAAGAATTAATTACCAGGTGCAATGGGAATTAAGGAATTTCTATTTTCTTCTTCGCTGGACCTCTGAAATCTCGAATATCTTCAAATCGTAAAGCAAAAAAAAAATAAAAAATCAATGACCAAATATGCAAGAGAAAAAAATAAGTTAAAAATATCAACACACAACAAGTTTTAACAAATTGGCACTTTATTTATCAAAGCAAATGTCAAAGACAGTAAACTGGTCTCTTGTTTATCAAAGAAAACACTCATTTCGATATTTGGACTCCAGCGATTATTTATTATACGAACCATGACGCTAGGGCATATCAACATTACATGCTGCTACTTTTTTCCTGGTGATTCAAGTTTCACATGGGGGTAGGTATAAGAAACAGGTCACACCCCGCAGTCCACTGAACCCCAGCCTTTATAGGAGGAGTGCCTTAATTGCACAACATATGGCCGCCGATTCCCAATTGTCACATTTGCCAACTTATCCGCTACATCCGCAGCTCCAATGGCATTCAGGTCCTTGTTGATGGATGCAGCAGCAACTGGACCAAAAATTATATTTTCATGTCAAAGTCCAAATATCAAATCATAATAACACAGAAACATGGCTCTTAATTTTTTTCAAGATCCAACCATAATCATATTCACCAACCAAAATGTGTGTATATCATTCGAGAAACTGAACAAGTAGATGGCTATCAATAAGCACAACTATGGATCAACTTTAACCTTATATACAGGTCCCATTCCTCTTGTTACCAAGGGATGCTAATATACAGAGAGAAATACTCAACTAGTCATGATATTGATATAATTGAATCTAGATTAAAATAAATAAATAAACAGTGACCATTCAATATAATATAGTATGCTTACATGGACTTTTTCTTCCTGGTGGCCGATACCTTGGTTGTCTAGCAGAGCTCTTCAAGGACTTGTCATTATTACTAAGATCCTTTAATAAAGAAGGATCGTGTTTAGTCGCAATGTACAAAATCACTACTAGATAAGAAGAAAAGCTAAGACATACAAGATTACAATTACCTTATTAACCAGATCCAGCTTGAGTTGCACACCTGCAAGAATCAATCAATTAGTAGAAAATCCCACAGTATAAAACCTTAATGAGTTACAGTTTGGACAAAGTAACAAGGCAATGATTAAACAATAGCAAGAAATCTCTATGTATTCAAACATAGAAAGAATATGTATTCAAGCAACACAGACAATTTAATTGCTAAAACCATCACTGAGCACGGAGACTCGAACTTAATGCAGAAGTGCAGTTTGTTTATAGTAATATTACAAACATAGCAAGAAAACTCGATGTATTCATCATGTGCATGTACCTATATCCAACATCATTAATGAAGTATTTTTCAGTATTATTACACTAAATTTCATTACCTGTGCCCAAAGATGCACTTGCCTTTACAGTGGAATGATTGTCAGTTAGCTTTGAATTAGGTAGAGCCCCAGAGAATCTCCTACCTGATTGCCATTCCAATGTTCCTTTCTCCCCAACTAAGCATGCTAATTAAAAATAACGAATAAATTAAGGAAGATAACCGGCACCCAAAAGAAAAAAACAAGGTGGGGCAAATTCGTAAGAGTCTCAAACGAACCAGATGGAGGAGTTCTAGACACAGCAACTCTGGGGCGAAGAGAGGGTGGAACATAATAACAACTCTGCAAATCAAAGGGAGGTTATGTTATGAGAGGCCTAGCTACAACATGATTATTCTGACTTCATTAAAGAACATCATAGAATAATATTAAGAATGCAGAAGTAACTATAAAGGACACACAACCTGAAAGAATGGATGTCGAAGCGTCTCGGCAGCCATTGGCCTTTTGCAAGGATCCCATGAACAGAGAGACTAAAAACAAGAAGCAAAGCAACAGTCAATTTCCCTTGAAGCAATTCCATCAAGAGAAACAAAAAGCAACAGAGAGCAGAAATGCACTTAACGGTAATAAGGTTAATTGCATCATCACTTGCTGATGGTATCAATGTGGACAGATGCACACCAGGGAACTTCAAAAGTAAGATTTAAAAATATATTAGATTCCAGTCACTCATTAGACAATCCACACCAAGTGTTCACAGGTAAAAAAATTCAAATTATGTATGAAACTAATAACCATGCGATCACAATTCAGGGAGAGTAAGACCTGTGGGAACTGGTAGTTTATTGCTCTTGCAAGGTTAAGACCATCAGACCATAAATCCTTAGTTGGAGTACCGATTACACTGCAAATTTTGTAGATTTCATCTGCTTCGCTGCATGCATAATGAAAGGTGAGCATCAATCCTGTGAACAACCAGGAGAATACTCGTAGTTGCCAAACAAATAAGAAAAAATAAATAGATAAAATCAGTGCATATATAAGCTGCACAATCTCAAGGAGGTGTTCACAGCACATAAGGAAATTATAATAACATACTTGGCACCAGGAAAAAGAGGACATAAGGTGAACAATTCTGCCATTATTGCACCCATTGCCCACATATCTGTATGCAAAGTGAAAGAATAATCAGGACTGCCAGCATTTCCACTATTAAGTGAATAGTCAGTACTGATTGCACTGAAAACTCACCAACTTTTGAAGAATATAGGTACGATTGAAGAAGTATTTCAGGGGCGCGATACCTAAAGAAGCCAACACTTAGATAGTTCTAATAAATATAAAAAAAACAGAAAAGGTGGAAAATCAACTAAATCCTCAAGTATCAAACTTACCAGCGTGTTGACACATATTCAGTGTATGGAGGCTGTGAACTAATTTCCCGTGCAAGACCAAAATCAGCAATTTTGATTACATCTCTAGTAACCAACAGATTCTCTGGAAAGAACACAGCAGTTAGTTGCATAATATTTCTTTGAGAAAACATAAGATAGATAAACATGAATTCTACAGGCAAAATTTACATACTGTACCTGGCTTTAGGTCACGATGAAAATATCCACACTGGTGCACGTATGCAAGACCTTGAAAGACTTGGAAACACCAATTTCTGATTTCAACTTCTGAAAAAAGCTTTTCTCTGTCTTTCATAAGTTGGTAGAGATTGAATTCCTGGAATATTTGCATGTTTTGAGAAAAGCAATAAAAGCCCCAAAGAACATATAGCAAATTATAACACAAATACAAGCAGACGCTTACCATATATTCAAACACAAAGTACAGAATGTTATTTTCCCTGATGACTTCCTTTAGCTTCACAATATTGGGATGACTCATTCTCCTCAGTGACTGCCAAATGAGACAGATTATCATGCATATGAAAAAAGAGAAAAATCAGAAGAAAGTGACTCATATTACCTTAACTTCTCTCAAATTCACACACTCTTCCCATGTGTAATATTTCTTCTTCATTTTCTTAATTGCAACCTTCAAAACAGAATACATTAAAAAATAATGTATCAGAGCCAACACATTTAAAGATATATGTTTTAACAAGTTTAAATATATTAGATTGTGGGCATACTCACAACTTCACCAGACAGCTTATTAATAGCTTGCCATACACTACCAAATGTTCCATCACCAACTTCCTTTATTATCTTGTATCTAATACATTAAAAAATCGATAAGCAGAACTAGCAGAAAATAAATATCATCTAGGCATCCCAGATAAAACATCATACCTCTCCATTTTCTTGTAGAAGAAAATGTAGCCCTCACTTTAGTCAAGAGATGTATAAGAAACAATGGTAATGATATGACATATATCTTCAGTAAAAATTTTTGTATTAGAAACAATAGAACATTAACAAACTGTGTTGTTGGTCACCTCAGTCAATCAATTTCCTCAAGCAACATGCAAAACCATAAAACCAGAAATATTATGGTGGATGGGCTTCAGAGCTTTATTTGTTACTAAATCCATAGCTTCAAGCAGAGAACAAAGCATCAACGGAGGGAATAGATGAGCTCCACATAACATACTGACAGGCACCAACCAGAATTATTGATTTGCTTTATTAAACAGGAATGATCCGAAGCTTAATATACTTTCTCTTGGTTTTAAAAACTTAATCACAGTCAACTCATCTAGGCTAAATAGAAACTGTTGCAGAATGCTCAATACATCAATATTCATCACTAATCAGTATCCATCAGGAGCAACAACAGAAAACTGATAGAGAACTAGAGCTGCTAAAGTTTAACATGAAACTTTCAACAGTGTACCAAGAGTGTTAAGACCTGTGATAATAGAAGAATGAGAAGAAGAATACATTAAAGGTTAGAAAAGGCACAAATAGTTGACAGATATAAGAAAACATGATTATGCAAATATATAGAGCACCTGAAAGGCATTTTCCCAAAATTTTCAACCAGATGCAGTATCATCAATTCACTGCAAACAAAATATTTAGATCCTACCTATATGATTTTTAATCAAACAGAGAAGACAAAACTGCTTACTTGAAGAAGTTTGCTAAGGATCCAACACATATCTCAGAAGAAACTAGCATTCCAATTCTCGTGTTGAACGTTAAAATGATACAGGGGATTAGGTGCACTTGACAAAAGAAACCAAAAGGAAATCTCCATGAACAAGAAACCGCCAATCGAGCACTTCTTGGAATGAAAACACTCGGAAAAGGTAGCAATTTAACCAGAAGCACACTTTTTCCATGTCTTGAAAAGGAAAGTATATCACTTTAAATCCAACTCAGGTACAATCTAACATTGAAACAATATCAATTGAACTTTGAGTTAAGATATATCTAATCAGGGCACACAAAAAATTATGTTGCACAGAATTCTACTACTAAATGAGAATAATACCATGACTCATGAATAATACTAAAAATGAACGTATTGCTTCTTGTCAAAGGAATGGGAGAAGAGTATCACTCAGAAAAGAGTACATGCTAATTCAAGAATACGATACGCATAATGCAACTATGTAAAAAAAGTGAAATAATATTCATCTTAATAAGCAATATATATATATATATATATATATATATATAAAGAGGATGAGGTTAGCATGACCAGAGAAATATTCAATCAACAATTCTCAAATTAGCTGCAACTCAGCAGATCAGATAAATTATTCCCAATTCTAGATAACAACGATGGTTCAGGGTTTGTTTGCGGTGATGGTGGAAATGACGATTTATAAAAAATCAAACATGAAGGAAACCCACTGAAACAAGCATCAGGAATCAGAAACAGGAACGGATTAATTTAGGAAAAGAGCGACAGATCCCAAGATATTTTCTCATAAATCGAACACGCACACCCGTATTCGTGAAATCGCCTAAAGCAATAGGAAACAGTAGTTATGGCAAGCGAGGAACAAAGTATATATACGCATAAATCGAAGAATATATACAATTGAAAAGAACCCTGATCTACCCCAAACACGAACAAAATCAGAGGAAAGAAGAAGAAAGATGTAATCGTGGCAGATCTAAGGCAAAAGAGATGAACGGAAAAACCTGAAGATGAAGCGGTATAAACACCGTCGCCAAGGACGGGAGGAGGTGGAATCCAGAGCGTCCGTATTTCTCTCCCGCAAAAGTAGAATTTTGTGGGTGTTTAGAATTATGACGCTAAATATAGTCGCCTTTGCCTTAATACCACTATCAGTTAAGGCGGGGGTTCACCTCGTGTGTGAAACGAGTAAAAGCTTAATTTTAGCGTCATTTTATAATATGTTATTATTTAGGTGAAACTACATAAGTGGTCGTTGTAAGGTTTAAACACTTGTAGTCAAATGACTAAACTTTTAAAATTTATAATATGATCATTGAATTTTTATTTGCTGTCATGGAGATAATTATCATTAAGAAAAATTGACGTAACATATTAGATTCATCGTGTTCCCAAAAATTCAAATTTCCCAAAAAACTTCATTAATATTTCATTAAAATCTCAAACATGACCCGCTAAATTATAACAACCTTTGGGTTATTATTTAATTTGAAATTTGATCTGAATTTAGAGTCATCATCAACTTTTGGGTTAGGTAGATCGAATACCTAAAAATATGTTTTAAAACAATTTTAAGAAAAACAATTTTTTAGACAAAAATTAATATGTGTTTTCCAAAATTTTATTTTAAAGGGTTCTGGAGTCGATTACACGTGGGGAAAGGTAAGCACCCCCACAACGCCCAAAATTGATACTTAGTCGCTTATACGTTATCGTTATAGTGGAATTTGCAAGTTCGAGTCCAAAATTAAAACATTACCCTTTGTATCGTACATTGATTAATTATTTCGTATCACAAAATTTCTCAAAAATAGACTCGATTTATTTTAAGTTCATTTTTTGTTCGAATGTCATCGAATCACACTACTTCTATTAAGTGATATTTTTCACATCCATTCTACGATAAATGTTCATGAAAATATACGAGTAAAAGATATTAAAAGCAGTATCAAATAAATGAATATGATACAATTTAAAATAATATATAAACATATTATGATACTATAATAAATGAAACATACATATTTTAAAATGTCTATCCAATATAAACTATGTTAATGCATGTGAAAACAATAACATAACTATAACATAATATATATACGTAACTATAACATAATATATCTATGTAATAGTGTCTAGAAGGAAAAAAACAGGAGAAAAATAACCGACCAAAAATACCTTATAATATACGATTTTAATCAACTTTTTTTGGATTTGTCAAAATGACCAAGTAAATCGCAATGCGATCGATAATTCGCAACGCGATCTCCGGTATTGCAAATCAGTTTCCAGATTCGCAACGCGAACTTCGACTATCGCAATGCGATAGTCGAAGTTTGCGTTGCAATTTATTCCAAATTCGTTGCGATAGTCCAAGTTCGTAATGCGATAGTCTAAGTTCGTTGCGATAGTCGAAATTCGCGTTGCGATTTATTTCAAATTCGTTGCGATAGTCCAAGTTCGCGTTGCGATAGTCCAAGTTCGTTGCGATAGTCGAAGTTCGCGTTGCGATTTATTCCAAGTTCACGTTGCGATTTATTCCAAGTTCGTTGCGATAGTTGAAATTCGCGTTGCGATTTATTCCAAGTTCGCGTTGCGATTTATTCCAAGTTCGTTGCGATAGTCGAAGTTCGCGTTGCGATTTATTCCAAATTCGTTACGATAGTCGAAGTTCGCGTTGCGATTTATTCCAAGTTCGCGTTGCGATTTATTCCAAGTTCGTTGCGATAGTCGAAGTTCGCGTTGCGATTTATTCCAAATTCGTTGCGATAGTCCAAGTTCGTTGTGATAGTCGAAGTTCGCGTTGCGATTTATTCCAAATTCGTTGCGATAGTCCAAGTTCGCGTTGCGATTTATTCTAAGTTCGCGTTGCGATTTATTCCAAGTTCGCGTTGCGATAGTCGAAGTTCGTTGCGATAGTCCAAAATCGCAACGACTGGTTGTATTGCATTTGTTTCCTAAGAATTTTCTATAAAAAGATAGTATTCGCGCGGACGTATAAAAAACACGTATTACCACGACCACACCCGAGACGAGACGAGAAGTCCCCCTTGTTCTCTATCACTCAACAAGGAAGTGGGAAAGCTAAGCCTTAAATACCATTCCCAATAGTGTTTCCAATACTATGTAGGATTGAGCATTACCAACACTTGTTCCCAATACTATGTGGGATTGAGCCTTAATAGTGATATTATTTGTGAATTATAGTTAATGACTTTAGTATTTGTATGAAAAGTATTTGTGGTTCGTTTAGTTTTCATGCAATTCTAATTTATTTTCAATTGATTGTAATTGCACGATAACAATTTTTTTATTATCGCGAGTGATGCAATTTTTTTGAATGTTTTGCTTAAAATTGCAATAATCGCGATTGATTGTAGATTGACTTTTAATTATGACATATTTAATCGTATAATACTAATGCAATTGGTTGCTGATTCAGTTGTTTTAAGGTGCATGATTGTTAATTGTTTCTTGAATAATCACATAGTATTGGAAACAAGTGTTGGTAATGCTCAATCCCACATAGTATTGGAAACACTATTGGGAATGATATTTAAGGCATGTCTTTCCCACTTCATTGTTGGGTGATAGAGAACAAGGGGGACTCTCGCGCGCCGCCGCCGCCATCCGTCTCGTGGTCGTGGTCGTGGTCGTGGCAATACGTGTCTTCGACACGTCCGCGCAAATACTATCTTTTTAGAGAAAATTCTTTAGAAACAAATGCAACACCACCAGTCGTCGTGATTTTGGACTATCGCAACGAACTTGGAATAAATCGCAATGCGAACTTCGACTATCGCAACGAACTTGGACTATCGCATTGGAATAAATCGCAACGCGAACTTGGACCATCGCAACGAATTTGGAAAATCGCAACGCGAACTTCGACTATCGAAACGCGAACTTGGACTATCGCAATGCGAATATGTAAATCGCAATGCGATAGTCGAAGTTCGCGTTGCGATAGTCGAAGTTCGCGTTGCGAATCTGGAAACTGATTTGCGATACTAGAGATCGCGTTGCGAATTATCGATCGCATTGCGATTTAATTGGTCATTTTGACAAATCCAAAAAAAGTTGATTAAAATCGTATATTATAAGACATTTACATATTCGAATTGCGATAGTCCAAGTTCGCGTTTCGATAGTTGAAGTTCGCGTTGCGAATCTGGAAACTGATTTGCGATACTGGAGATCGCGTTGCGAATTATCGATCGCATTGCGATTTAATTGGTCATTTTGACAAATCCAAAAAAAGTTGATTAAAATCGTATATTATAAGACATTTTTTATCACTGAGGTTATTTTCAAAAAACAGAACATGCTGCCAATTAAAACAAAACATAATTAATACACTAAATTGAACAAAATAATGATCTTAGATAAGAATCGAAATATAATATATATAAAATAAATATGCAAATCAAACAAAAAACATTGAATTAAATTAAAACAGAAATTAAATTAAATTAATTGTAAAATTAGAATGTAAATTATAAATATATTAACTAACAGTTAACTTGAAGCATGCTTCTCTGGGTCTTTTACCCTTATGAACGTCGGCCTACTTGTGAAGCTATATGGCCCACATGAAATATGAAGGAAGGCTTCTTCCTTATTCATTTACTAAGGGTTTTGTTATAACCCTAACAAACAAAAGCATCAGCTATCTTCTTCTCCATAACTTGTCACCGCCGCTCCTTCAGCTTGCCGTCGCTCGCCGCCGTCTCCAATGGTCGTTAAACGCCGAACTTCAATGGAAGATTCGTCTGGACACTAGGAACTCGGATCCGGTCTTGGTTTCGCGAGGAAGGATCTTCAACTCCACAAAAAGATCATGGAACCTCTCGGCTTCCACCCTTTGATCTATGTCATCGGATTGTTGGATCGACTTGGTTCCAAGGTATGTTACTC